TTGAATGGTTCAAAGTTTTGTAGAACATTGATCTTTTGGGATGGTGTTTATTTATCCTAATTAACTATATTCGTATGGATCTATTATTTAATAAATATATAATATATGTGACCCATACACAGTAAATTTATTTCTATTTACTAATAGTTTTAACTCGGAATGAAAATGTATATCTTGAATTTTATTACATAATCTATTATTTTATTATAAATTCAAATTTCATAAGTTCTAAATCCCTAAAAAAATCATTTTAGAAGAGTTCAAATGAACACAGCTTAGCGGTAATTGACATATATCTCAAACTAAAAGATTGTGGGTGCAATCCCTCGTTCCCACATGTTGTACTGAACTATGCATAGATTGACTGATTGTAATAATGACCTTTACATTACTATCTCCAAAAGTTTTATTTATTTATTTATTTTATATTCTATCTCCATCTTGTAATTTTTTTTTGTTCAATTACAAATTTGGTCTTTTGTTTGAGTAAAAGTTTGAATTTGATCCCTATCATTTTAAAAATTTCAAATTAATTTCTATAGTTTTGACTTAGTTTCAAATTGGTTTAGATTTAGTCCATATGGTTTTCATTAAGTTTCAATTTAGTACCTCGGTTTGGAGTTAGTTCAATTTCGGGCCTATGATTTCAAAAATGAAGTCTCTATAGTTTAGTCAAACATAAAATGATCATTTATTGTTTGTAAATACAGTAGTTTTATATTTGGATAATTGTGTTAGCTGATTGTATTAGTGTTCAAGGGTGAGTGAAAACAAAAAATAAAGAAACAAAAGAAAAAATAGTATGTTTTTCAGGTGGATAAAACACAGTTTAAAGGAATAACTTATAAAATTTAATCAAATTGTAGGGATCAAATTGAAACTAAATCTAAAACATAAGAATTAAATTAAAATTTCTAAAATTATAAGAACCAAATTCAAACTAAACTCAGACCATAAAGACTAAATTGAAGACTAAATTGAATCTTTTAAAATTACAGTAACTAAATTCAAACATTGGTGTGAATGCTGCCAGTATAATTTAACCTTTTTATTATATTTTTTTTCTTTGCCATGTTTATCCGCATCATAAATTTGTAGCAAATTGCCGCTAAACAAATGTTTTTGTCTTTTTTCTTTCAGTTTGTTTTGTTGATTGACCCATCTAGTGTTGTAGTTTTGCCAATTGGTCGAGTTCAAAATATATATATATATATATATATATATATTTTGCCTCTTTAAAAAAACTGAAATTTTAGCATATATATTTTTTTTGTTGGACCGACAACCAACTAAAATTTTATCGTTTTAATATAGAGATATTTTATAATACAACATTAATTTAATATGTATTTTGAAAAATATTATAACTCTATTCTTTTCAAACTAGTATGATTTTTATATGGATGTGTTTTATTTTACAAATTTGAGTTTTGAGTTGGATAAAAAGCCTCTTTCAGCCGTTGAACATGTGACGTGCGAACAAATTTTAATAGTTAATTTTAGGTTTCAAATCTTATTTTGGTTCCAATAATGTTTTAAAAAACAATAGACACAAAAAATAAAATGACCACTTAAATATAAATAAGAAAAATGGAAGAAAAACAAAAAACAAAAATTACATAGATTCTGGAAAGCATGGAGGGGAAATGTCTGGGTTCTGAAAAGTGCAACTCTCAAACGGATTTCTTACAGCTGTTCTCTGTGGCAGTCACAGTCAGTTTTCCTGAACCAAACTCCATTTCATGTTTCTTCTTTCACAACCTTTTTTTTCTCTTATAGATAAACCAAGTAAATTTAAAAAGTTAAAGAGTATTTGGTTTCTTTGGGTGAGAAATTCAAGCAGACGACGTGTGGAGCGTTGGAAAGACAGCGGGATATTGGGCCACAGACGATTAGGAACTTATATATGGACGCGTCACTATTGGAGTTGTACGGGGAGTGTGTCGCGCTGCAACCTGCAACCTGCAGCAGGGGAAGACTGACGGACAATCAAAGGCGTCACCCGCCATATGTCCGGAATGTCCGCCCATGTCCGTCGGAACCCCATACAACAAGGCACGTCCGACCTACGTTTAAAATCGTCGCCCTTCCTGGTCGACCACCCGCACTTATAGAAGTGAAGGACCCTATCACCATTAAGGAAACGAAAAATCTGTCAATACATCCATAAAGTGTTTACCTCATACTTTTCATTATTAATTTGATCTTCGGAGTGTATTAGGCGAGACACCGCACCAGTGTCAAGTTTTCTAGTTGTAAACTCATTTGCTTGTCGACGACGTCCAGTTCCAATGGACATGTGCACATCTCCAAAACTCCCCATCAACAAATCTCACAAAGAGAACCAAGCCAATTAGGCGAGGGAGAAACTCCAAAATTGTGAGCATTTCCTTACATTCGAAACCATATTTTTGCAAGAGAACGATCGACAAAAAGTTCTCCATCATCGAGTCAATTTTTATTGATTGTCATTCGTTCTCGTGGTACGAAAAGTTCTTTAGTATGAAAAATTCAAATATACAATAAAGATTGGGAGAGTTAGCTAGCGATATTAATTGCAAGTATTCTAAAAAGAGGAAATGCACGAACCCTTCATAAGTACCTACCAAACTACTTTTGATAAAAAAGGAAATCTTTAACATTAATTTTGGCAGTGTGATCTTCCTTCATGTGCTTGATTTTTTAGCCTAAAATGAGGAAATCAAACATCTTGTTCAACATGTTTTCCAATCTACTCTTGTACAAGACTCTGCCCACATGGAACGCAAAAATGTGTTTTTGTGTGTATTATTCCGAAAATTGGTTACTGTGCTCCTGCCCAATCAATTCAAATTATAACAACAAAAAAGTATAAAAAGTTACTTTAGTAACGAGCTGAACTCGGAGGATAGAATGAAATATCAACATCAACTCAAATTTCTAAAACGTGTTGTAGGAAGTCTCAACCATAACTATTCAAAATTAAAAATGGAAGAGATAACCCATTTTACTATCACGAGGAAAAACATGTCTAAAACTAACTTAAATTAAACAATCACTACATTTCATATACATCTAGCTTCATTAATAGTCTTCATAGTTCTTCTTTTTTTTTGAAGGAAGAAAAAAAAGTTTCATACATCTCTAAACAACTTAAAAGTCCCATGTAGCCTACATAAAAAATAAAATTTCTTTTTTCACATAATAATGATCTCGCATGGAACATTTTAGATTTCAAAATTATTTAATTTCATATCGTATGAATCAATTAATATGTTGCACGTGTCACATATTATTTACTAAAAAATTATCATCATGAACTTGATCGATAATACATGCTTTAATTAATTAGTTAAGAATCTACCATACTCAACAACTTCCTAAAGTACACTAACAAGTTGTAACATTAATTTTAATTATTTTAAATTGATGAATGATTACATCTTTTTTAATACAACAAAATGTAGGAGGGGTGATTCGAATTCACTACTTTTTGTCGAATTGTCTTAGATTGTCATATTTGATTATATTTTACTGTTTTAGGTATATTTGTTTAATAAATATTTTACGTATAAAATAAGTAACAATTAAAATCGGATTCTTCTCCCCTAGGGCCGGGTGATTTATTTAACATGTACTAATTCTCAAACATCGAAGAATGCATTGGAAATAAAAAATAAATTTGTTAGCAAAATTGTAAACTAAGAATTCATCTTTGACCATGCCTAATTGAAAATAAAAAGAAAATTGATTCTTTGACCATTGTTTCACCTCTTTTACCATTTTTGTACTATGTAGTCATTAATTATTACTTATCAACTAGGTAACAGTTGAGACCACGTTCTTTTTTCTTTTTTATTTTAATAATTGCTTTGGTGGAAAAAATGATTTAAAACTACTCTTAAATAGAATCACATAAGAGCGATTTGTTATTAAACATTTTAGAAAAGTACTTTTAGTACCATTACTCAGTCTTGAAACCACTTCAAGTTAATTAACATTATTTTGTGGGAAAAAGTTTTGAACTCACCACCAAGAGGTTGTGAGGTAGGTGTCAATTATCCGTGAGTTATATTCACTTGACAAGTTAACCACATTAGTTTTTGGGATGTGTAGACATTAAATTTGATCTTAAAGGCCAAAATATTTATGTTAGAGAGAAACGTTGAATTGCTAAGCGGAGTATACTTCGATAGTAATTGACATATACTCATTCTAATGAGGTGATCCTCATACTTTTCTTAATATGATGATCTCAAAATGAAGAAGCAGTCGTTATTGAAGAAATTTTTCACTACAGCTCCACGACGTCAACTGCCTTGCCATCGTATCGACCTCGATAGTCGGAAAATCCTCCTTCCGTGAGATCCTTGCCGATGTTACAATAGTGAAAGTACAAGGATCAAATGTATTTTTAAACATTTTTTTAAGAATAATACATAAAAAATAATGGACGAAGATTCAAATTCACCACCTTAAAATTTCATATATTTTAACAGAATAAATTATGCAACGGTTTACAAATCTATCAAAATTAAATTGATTACCACATATTACTCAAATCAATTATACCGCGTCACCTAATAGATTAATTAACTAAGACAATATAATATCTATTAATAAATTTATTTATAGTAAATATAAATTTAGTTTAGCAGTAATTCACATAAATCTAGGTTATGAGTTTAGATCTCTATTATTTGTTGTTCTAACAAAAAGAAACCTAGGAAAGATTTTAAATGAATTTTATTATGTACGTGTCATCGCACGAAATGTTGATTTCAAAATGTATTTTTATACAATCGTAAAATTTTAAAATAAATTATTTATTAAAATTTTTATCTTTTAAAATTTAATTAATAAATTAAAATTAATAATATTAAAGATGAATAAATGATAAATTTAATTCATATATTCTCAATCTAACTTAGGTTTTGGAAATAAGCAATAAGCGGCAGAAGCGAAGGGAGATTTACGATGGCATTATAAAACAGAGCCGAGAGGAATGCCTAATGCGTAATGTATTTATCTGTTTTTCACGTGGCGGTTTCTTTTAATTACAATTATTAAAAAATCGGAAGTCTCTCACGCACAGCGTCGCCAGCGACAAGACTTGCAGAAAAGCAAATCAGCGACACCTCTCTCTCTCTCACTCCTCTTCCTCCTCCTCTTATCTAATCCGTACGCTCGATTGGTACCTCCATTTCCCCCGCCGATGCAGCACGCGCCGCCGTCACCAATCGCTTTCTCTTCTCTCCATACGATCTGGATCAGAGGTTGATTCTCCCTCTGTTTTTGTCTTTTTCTTTTCTTTTTGTGTTCAAGACACCGACGGGAACAACATGGTGCTGCTTCAATCACTTGCCGCCAACACTGCTTGTGTTCCCCTGGACCTTGTCATTCTCGATGCAGCTATGGCTTCCTTCAACGGCGTTCTAGCTTTCTTAGCCTTTTCGCAGGTGAGCTTAAACCGTTTTTGAATCTTTGCTGTTTGGTTAATTATGATTGCTTCTGGTCTGGACGTTGCAGAAATTGCTCCGTCCCCTCCTCTTCGTTGTTTTCTTTTTGTGATTTATTTGCAGTTATATTCGTTTTTTCGTTCACGAATGATTAGAAATTACCTTCACCGAATTCTCATGGCTTTTTACAACCACTGATTAATTGAAGTCCAAATGCTTACAGAGAAGCTCTAATCAGGCCTAACATTTGGTTTAAGTGATGGTACCGGTGCTTAAGAACGCATTGAAGCACTATTTGACGGGGGACGAGAGGTATTCCTTAAGTGTTCATTTCGGTCGGGAATCCTTTTGCCTCTCTCTCCCGAGAACGAAGGAGAATGTTCGTTTGTTCTTGATATCCAAACGCTAGTTCGATTGTCGAGGGACATTGCCGAACGGAAAGAGGACTTTGTTTTCTCTTTTTTCTTTCACATAGGAGTTTGAGAAGACTGAGACTGTTAAATATTGAAATTCTCTCCAATTTGAAAGGCATTAGGGATAGCAAGCAATCGAGCATGAATTTCATAACTGCATCATAATTTTTCCAACTTAATTATTTTTTAATGACTTGTATAAATTTAGTAAATGTTTCTTCATTCTAAAGAACTTACGGGGAATGAATGATGGAATGCGCTCATGCATTCCCTACCTTGTTTATTACTCTCTAGGTGATGGCTACTGCTGTCTGCTGTGTGTTCATTTAGTGAATGGTTTATCATTAGTACTTTTATCATGCATTAATTATTCTGATTATTATTCCAGCTCATCAGAATTCACATGCGGGGTCAACAGGATGGATGGACGCGTCAAAAAGTAAGTCGTAGTTTTTGTACCCTTTAATTCTCATTTACTGTTAAGTAAGAACTAAGAAGGATTTAAAGTTAAAATATATAACTTTGGAACCGCAAGTAAGATTTGTTCTTAGTCGTTCAAATAAACCAATATGTTTTGAAGTACAGAACTCTATAGCTCCTTGAAGTCTAGGCACAAATAAATGAAGAAGGGTTTCTAACAAGGATTCAATCGCAAGTCTTGATATATATTCTAAGAGAGGCGTGAAATAGTTATAACATATATTCTTAGAATAGTTATCTACTTTTATTTTTTTTTTCCTTTGTTGATTGGAAAAAAAGATGCCTGTCTTCAATGTAAAAGAGATTTTAAATATAACTCGAGCATGAAAGGTTGATTTTCTGGATCAAGTTATCTTTGACACTTACTCTGGGAGGCTAAACCTCGAGCCTCACGATGGAATCTTAACGAAAATGAATATTTGAAAGTGGACTCAATTGCCTCAGAAGTCAGTTACCATGGGACTGCTAGGTTGTATTCATGATAGTTTGGTTATTATGATACTAGTCATTAATTTTTTCTAGTTGTAATGTGACGTTTGGGGAAATTGGAGTTACTTTCCATTGTAAACCATTTTGATGCATTATATGTTTATAACTGAATCTATTGCATTAGTATTATTTTGTTTATTTTTATATATATGGTGCAGTATGTTCGTGTATGAAGTAAACAATCTCGTTTTCTTTTTATAAGCTTATGATTTGCACTTTAAACTTTATCTTAGCTTTTGGGACAATGATATTCATTCCCATTATTACTTGTCTTTGTCTAATGTGTAATGGTGCATGTGAAAGCCATGTAGTCTTTCTGCAATATGGTTATTACTTTCTCCTTTTAATATATCTGATAAAAGATCACATTTCTCTTTGAAATGAGTTGTCATTTGCCAACTCTGTTCTATTTTATTGTTAAAATTCTCACTATGCGATTGTAATATTTTTCTGGAATTCAACTTGCAGGCAGTTCATCTGATGATAGGCTCTTCTAACTTGGGTAAGGACATACCAGTTAAGATGACCAATTATCCTATATAGTTGCTACCCATACCCATATATTCCTGTTACTAGGATCAAATCTATGTTTGATATTGCATTTGGATCAACCCGGTCCATATTATAAATAGAATTTAAGGCATCATATTGAAAATGTTATAAAGAATTTTGGCGTACTAAGTCTATCATTGTTGTTCCTGCCATTTGCGAGACTGAGGGATCAAGTTGTGGTAGGCTTGTTTTTTGGCCATTTTGTGGGGTGTTTGGATTGGGAGGAATAGCAAAATTTTATGGGAATTGAGAAGACTTTGGGGAAATTTGGGAGTTGGTTAGATTTAATACCTCTCTTTGGGTGTGGGCATCTAAGAATTTTTGTAATTACCGGTTAGTATTATTTGAATTAGGATCTATTCTTATAGGCGGCTCCCCTTTTGTCAAGCTTGTTTTTTGTAGGCCCCTTGTATATTCTTTCATTTATTCTCAGTGAAAGCATGGTTTCTTATTAAAAAAAAAAAACATTGCATAATTACTCGTAGTCGAACTTTTATTGTACACTTGTATGAATGCCGATCTGCCAGTTACACATTGGTAACAAGTCCTTAACTTTGTACCATGTTGTTCTTTGTTTATTTTGTTTCCTGTTCTGGATGCTCTTATCAGGGCACGATTTAGGCTGCTGAACATAACACCATGTTAATTTGTGGACCTTGATCATTTATTTGCAGGCTATATGATTTATTTCATATTTGCACTTGTTGCTACTTTTGAACTCTGGAATTGCGGGTCTCATGTTTTTGGATTTGTCCTCATGGGTATGCTTTCAACAGTTGTTATAATTTTGTGTCCGTAGATGTAGGATATACTAATGATTTTGAACGGAATTGTTCTTGGCTCTTGCAGCTTTCCCTAAAATACTGTTTCTAGCAGCTTTTCTCCTACTTCTTTCTTTCTGGTAAGTTTCCATCATTTTCCAATGTAAAAGCCTCTATTCTTGAATTTGGTAATCTACCTATCCTTTTATGATTTTGTTTTTTTGATCAGTCCTTTTATTGTTTCAAAAGTTTCAAGCATTAGATTGTGATAGAATCTGTCTATTATTTATGTATGAGAGGGAAATAACAGAGCCGAGGGAGTATTCGAGAGCTCCCGTTTCTCTCCTACAGACGCCTATAGACTCAGCAACATCAAGAATGATCCCCCCTTCTCCTAAGGACAGACCTATAAACATAACCAACAATACCCCAAAATACCCTCTAACTGATTCTAGTCCTCCGTGCATAATACCGTAACAAACCTGAGCCCACGTAGTCTAACTTCCTCTATTCTTTCTTCTTTCCCTTCCTCCTAGCATACGTCTTCGTAATAGGAGGTCTATCAGATTGCTTATTCAAAGATTATTTAAAAATCATTCTGTCGTAATAAGTGGACATTTTGATGAATACTCTAGTCTTTCGAGTCAGTTTTAACTGATCTAATTGGTCAGGCACAAACATATTTGCATCTTTCTTAGCTTCAGGGTCTAGTGATATGTTCATTTCTTGTATGTGTTCAAACCCGATTATGCCCCTTAGAGAAGTATAAATTTTTAAGCTCCTTTCTAGTTGTGCTCGTAGATTTGAAAATATGATGCTACTGGCTAAAGTTGGATATTAATGCTGTTATGGTAGCATGCATTTTTTTAATTAAAATTTTATTTCATTCAAATGACAGTGCAGTGTAATTTATATGGTATATGTATGCTTCTATTGTATATGATATCATAGGGTCGACCTTTGCCATCAGGCAAACGATGAAGAGGATGACGACGACGATGAAGAAAATAGCACTCAACAGGCCTTGTTGGAAAATTCAAAGAACAAACCTGGTTCATCAAATGTAGATGGCCATCGAAGATGTTGCGGATTTCCTGCTACTCATCTTGGAAGTAGGCAAAAAATTGTAATTGTGGTAAATGTGGAACACTTAATTATTATCATTTATTTGTGTGAAGTGTAATGAGGTCGTATACAATTTGCTCATCTGATATTTATTTTTTTCTGTAATTACTTAGGAATATTAATTTGAATCTTATATCAGCCATCCCTCACCTTCAGGTTGTCATACTGGTATTTATCCTCATGGTGGCAGTTTCTGTTCTGATCTGGATTGGGGCAGGACAAAATCCTATTGATTCTACAGCTGTTGCCAGGGTACGAATGACTTTTCACTCATGAATCTGGTTGTGATGTACAAATTGTCTAAAATTCAGTTGTTACGGATACAGAACTCCTAATCAGAGTATCCAGAAAGAACGACATGGCAGTTAAATTGACTAAAAAATCTTTACAATACGAGTAAATAATAGAGTCGAAGCATTCTCTAATTGATTAGGAAACCTTAAATAGAGTTCATTTCCAACTATCATGGGATGACCTAGTGGTCAATGAGGACTAATGTAAATAGCAAAGAGCTTAGAGGGAATGGGTTCAAACTATGTGGCCACCTACCTAGGATAATATCCTACGAATTACCTTGTCAACCAAATGTAGTAGGGTCCAAATGTAGTAGGGTCAGGCGGTTGGCCTGTGATTAGTCGAGGTGCGTGCAAGCTGATCCGGACACACGGATTTAAAAAAAAAGGGTTCATTTCCTATTGGATAGAGAGTTCATTATTATCCTTTGTTAATAACACCCAATTCGACATTCTTATAGTAATTGGCTGTATTAATCATTAATATAATGAACTAAAAAATATAATGAACTAAAAAAAGGAAAGAACTAGTATAAAATTGTTATGACTACAAGTATATTACTTTTCTTTTCCTTGGGTAAAGTTAGTATTAGTACTTAATGTAATATTCTTAATCAAAGCACAGGTTAGAGCCATATTTCTTGTGCTGTGTGAAAATTGAAAATATGTTTTCATTTTGTAGCTATTTGTTAGTTCTATGCTGAACTTTTAGTTCCATACTTCTTTCCTGCAGGTATCTGATCCTGTAGTTATATGTATTTATATAATTCTATTGAGTCCTAATTGCTGTTTATGCCAACATCTCTTCTGTTCAGGTGTATGAAGACTTTCTTGCTGTTACAGTCCTCCTATCAGGAGGTGCCCTAGGTTTCTATGGTGAGCAAATTTGCCAGATAGTTTTTGGTTTTCTTCTTGTCAGTTTGCAATTTTTTGATAAGATATTCTTGGCAGTTTGCATTTGATGTTTAACTTTTTTTTTTTTAATATCCTTTATATCCAATTCTGATTTCTCTTTCTTCTCTCTCGAAATATTTTCAGGTTTCATGTTATTTTATAGATTGATAAAAGTACGTTCTGAGGAAGCCTCTTCCGAGATGAAGAAGGTATTGGATTGATAAGTTATATAACTGCCATCTATTCTTCCCTGTCTCCTGTATGTTGAAGTGCTATTTCCTGAATGCACATGGCTGTGGATGGGAAACCCACGAAGAATTAAATTGCTTAAAAATTCAAAGTCGAAATGATGATCCACAAACTATAAGAATACGATGTAGCATCTTTTTCTGAAATCTGAGAAATCTCAAGATTCTGGGCATTATTCTATTACATGCAGGTTGGTGGGCTAGCAGTTGTCTGTGTTGTGTGTTTTACATCAAGTGCTCTGGTAGATCTTCTTACAGATATTCCTGTAAGTTGTCAACTGTCTCTTTATGTGTATGAACCTCATTGGTTGTCAATGAGTTCATATTTGTATGTTCCTTCTAAGTTTCTAACTTCTCTATCACTTATGATAGCTTTCCTATAATTGGCGCTTCATGAGAACAAATGGAGTAAATGCCCTAGTCCTTTTGATTTTGTACTTCTGCATGGGTAAGTCCTTTTGATTTCTTTTATAGTTTTTATGAATCTGGGTTCTAAACTGTTTATGAGTATCATATAATAGTCTAGTTAGTCCTGAGTTACTTTAAACGATGGATTTTGATATCCCAGAGAAAAGTATTCGTGCAAGTTTACTTTTGAAGTATATCTGGTGTTTTTTAATTCTTTTTGGTACGATTAGTTAAGTGTTTTTGTAGACTTATTTGGGATTGGATATCCTTTTTGAATATATATCCCTGATAATAGATTGCAGTGCTACTTTTCATTAATTAGTGAGCTTTTCTGTGTACCTTTGTTTATTTTTCTCCAAATTTGTTTGCTTGATAGGTTCTTTGATTCCATCAGCCTTTTTATTGTGGATTATGAGAGAGCTGCCACCTCCTAAAAAAATTCAGAGACAAGAAGAATCGAGGGCAATAGCTTTTATAAGCCATGGGGCAGCTGATGCAAATCCTCAGCGTTGGGCTGATGTAACTCGTTCAAAGAATCAGGTTTCTTGCCTATCCTCTTCTGAAGTATCAACATTATCTTTTCCGAGTTGACATGTTTTGTTCTTGATTTATTACTTGTGAAAGTAAAAAGTAAGACTCCTGCATGTAGACTAATGAATGGATCGAACAAAGTGGTGACTTTTCACCTTAAAAGTTGCTATCTAGTAAATCTGATGCAGGGGCATCCTAACCACTCCAATTTCTTCCTTCAGTACTTCTCATAAAAGCTTAATGTTTTCTTTACCACTTCCGTTTTGATCCTTGATTACTGTTAGTTTTGAGCTTGGCTTTTGCGTGTCTCATTTTGGTCAATAACTCTTTTCCTTCTTAGGATAAAACCCTTAAAAGAACAAGAATAGAACCTTTCTTGGCAGATTATTCTTGACGGCTTATGGAGAGGCTTCGTAACCTCTTTCTTTCTTCTTGTTTGTTCTTGATCTCGTTGTACTAATTTAGAGCATTGGCTTTTCTTGAGGTGATGTCCAGTAATTAAAGCCAACTCCCACATCATAGACGGCCGACAAGGGTCAAGACAAAAATTAGACCCATGTACATGAAAAATTAAGCATCTATTGACACCGTTAGGGTAAGAAATGAACTTCCATTCAGTACTCGGCCTGCAGCCCAATGCTTGACCCCTGCTCATGGATACCATTGATATGAGACGATTTCACTGGTTAAATGGAATGTAGAACAAAAGGGAGCCTTCATTCGGGTAATTAGAAAAAGGTCTTCCAACTAGTGCAAAAATGATAAATAGAACAATTATAAAAGGGACTATATCTCTAACACCTAGTGGCAACTGCAAAAAGGAGTTCCTTCCAAAAAGTATCAATCGAAATTTCTCTCGGAAAAAACTCCACTATTTCTTCCCAGCCATAAAGATTATAAAAAGGCTCTACTAAATGTGAGCCATATAATTTCACTTCTTTTCTAAATGGATGCCCATATAAAATGAGAGCAAAGATGCCTTTAATGTCATTTGGAGGAGTCGCCAATTGAAGGTACTGAAGATAGTTGTTCAGAAATTGCAGGTGTAACTATGTAAAGGCAATTGAAGAAAATATGGCATTGAGATTCTGAGCTTGCTTTATAAAGGTAGAATTGTTTGGGGAGGGGCAATTGGCATATTTCTTTGGACCTTGTGTCGAGTGTTCTGCTGCCAAGGAACAGCTCCCACAGAAAAACGTCTATTTTTCCTGATGGGGTGGAGGACTTTCCAAATAACTTTGTATTGACCGGGATGAAAGTGAAGAGATCTTTGTTGAAGGATCCCGATTTGGCACAATTGCACGACCATCTTCGAAAGAGGGGGAGACATCTTTCAGGATGTTGGTGAGGGAGATCCATTCTTGAACTTGGAGATCTTTCCCATTTCTTTGAACGAAGAAATTTTTTTTAAACATACAAGTGTAAACAATCAGGAATGGAGGATTGGTTAAGCCTCATGTCTGCTCTTCATGGCATTTATCCTCAACATTTGATAAGAGTTATGGACTCGAGATAGTTCTGGGAGCTTTTTTTGTTACTCTCCTTCCCAAAGCTTATTCAACAGCAAGGTTTCTCCATAGAGATCTTATTGAATCAATGATGTCCTATGGAAAGGAAGGTATGCCAAGAACATTGATGTATTCTTGCGGATCACTCTGGATGCATGGCTAAATATGAATGATAAGTTCATGAAAGGCATGTCCTCTAATCAGAATGGTGCTTTGTAAGATGCACAGTGAATTGCTGCCTAATTATTCCTACAGTTTCCTGTTACTTCACAGCTCTGGTGGAAGCTTTTTTAGATTCTCGATGTTAATCTTGCTCTTCCTAATTCAGCTTCTCAAAGTTTGCTTATTCTTTGTGGGGATTCATTGTTATAAGAGGCTTATTTGGGATTGTTTGGTTAGATAGGAATTGACGTACTTTCAGGAGCAAAGGTTGTGGATGAATCTTGGCAATTGGCATTATATACTGCTTTTTGCTTGATGTCCTACTAACCATATTTTCTGGAAGCTTCATTAAGAGATTTAGTAAAAGTGTTGCTCCTATTAATTAATAGCATGCATGAGTAAAGTAATTTTGTTCCATCCATTCTTTTAATTCTTCTAATTATTTATGAACTGAATGTATGGTGAGAAGAAAGACGCCAAATGACCTTTCACTGCACATTGCAGGTTACCAGAGCAAGCCCCATATAATGAGACATTTAAGGACATACCACTGATTAAGGCTGCTTATCTTATGTTACATGAAAGAAATTATGACCAGAGATACAGAACCTAACATTTGGGACGAGTGTTAAGAGTTTGACCATGCTGCGAGCGACGCCTGTATATTTCAACAAAAAGTTGATGACTGACATCAAATGTGAGAGTAATCAAAACTGCAGCTGGATACACAGAAGCTTTTATATGTTTTTCCTTTCCCCTCTTCTTTTCCCTTTTCCTTTGCACATAGTAGCCAAGGATTGCACATTTTCTATGAGGGAAAAATGTTGTACAATTTTTGCTTCCCTAGAAGCTTGAAAGTTTTGCAGATTATGTTGTAAAATTACCCTTCTGCACCGCAACCTTGTTCTGATGGGTACTCATATTATGATGGTTGAGTATGTTAAAGCCTAGGGTATATACCAGTAACCAGCAATTTCTAACGAGTGGAGCAATTTATTTTACACTTACGTGAATACTCTCTCTTTCTCTCTGCGTCCTAAAAATGCCCTTACTTTTACCCTGGAAACAGGACAGCTCACTCAATTATAGATTTCTCTACTTTTATCTCGCACATTAATTTATCATCTTTTTAGTTTTAATTTGAAGAGAGTGTCATTTCTAATTTGCAGTATTGTTGTGAAACACGATTGTGCACCTAGGTGAAAGAACGATTATCACTTTACCTTAAAGATGTATGTAGCTAAATTATGACTCACTCATATAATTTAGTTTATAATCAACCACCATAACCAAATCTAAAATCTTGAGAAATTAGAGAACCACATGGACTGCAATCTCCTCATCCTTATCAGAATGCTCGTGAAATCAAAGATAGAGTTTACGTGGAGTTTTCGTATTGGCTGAGATGTGAAATAGCAAAATATCGCAATTGGAAGTTGCTGTGCTCCACATGAAAGGCAGAGAAAGAAGCAAGAAGCAACTTGTGGAGCAGAGGATGCCAAGTACAAAGCTATGCCCCATTGTCCATGGCCAAAAAAATCTCCCCAATTTCATCTTCTCCAATGAGAAAACAGATAGAGATCTCAGCAGGATAAGAACCCAATTATTTTTTGTATCTATAAAACAAACCCCAATTCAATTAATTCCTCTCACTTCACTCTCCCCTTCACAAACTTGAGTTGAGTTCCAGAAAAATGGCAGCTTCATC